CCCGTTTTCGTAGCCACGACTGTGCATGAGTGCGGTTCCAGTTGCCGTCCTCTCTGGGTTCTTGGCCTTGGGACGGGGCAGGGTGTTTAGCAGGCCCACCACAGGTTTAGGTGGCCCAGTCCATTTGCCCGGGGGACTCTTGAACCAGGGACCCTTGGCCTCTTCCGTCGAGACTTCCGGGCTGCATGTTTCTTTTGCATGAGCCTCGCCGTCCAGGCTTGCCTGGCTGATCTTCATAACCAGCAACATTAATTGTGTCTTTTGTATTTCTAGCTTTGGCGAGCGCAAAAAATAAAACAGGTAACTCTTTGCTTTTCCTTTACAATAAATACCGTTGCAATGGCAAAGCTTGGCTTGGCCTCTTCCGTCGAGACTTCCGGGCTGCATGTTTCTTTTGCATGAGCCTCGCCGTCCAGGCTTGCCTGGCTGATCTTCATAACCAGCAACATTAATTGTGTCTTTTGTATTTCTAGCTTTGGCGAGCGCAAAAAATAAAACAGGTAACTCTTTGCTTTTCCTTTACAATAAATACCGTTGCAATGGCAAAGCCTGGAAAGCGCCGTGTGTGTGTGTGTCTGTGTGTCTGTGTCTGTGTGTGTCTGTGTCTGTCTGTGTCTGTGTCTTTGTGTCGCACCTGTCCAGAGGGCCAGACCAGGTACCTGCTGCGCGTGGGCCTTGCAGCTCGAGAGAAAGCGCGCCTTGCTGGTGGGGGGTTGTCTTTGCTGGGGGCCGGGGAGGGACTGGCCCAGAGGATGTTTCACCGCGTGTGCTGCTGCTCTTTCTTTTCTCCCTTCCTTTTTTTATGCCATGCGCTAGAAGGGTTTTGCTCTCCAGCGTAGGGGCCTCACCCGGAAGCGGCTGCGGCGTAGCCGTTGGATCCGGCTCTCAGGCACTTTTGTCTCCTGGATTCTGGAGGGGCTGGCTATGGCTGCTTCCCGGCAAAGGGGAAAGGCAGAGCCTGCCTCTTTCTTTACCACGGAGGCATCGGTGCCCTGCTGTTGGACACTAGGTGGGCCCAGGGTCCTGGGAATGCCACAGCAGCTCTGGAGCCAGGCTGCAGCCCGGGCGGGCACAGGAGGGTTGGCAAGGACCTGGTGGTGTCAGCAGAGGCCAGTTCCACCCTGCCCTTCCTCCTCCACCCCACCCATGGCCGCTCACCCTTGGTGGCCTGTCCGCAGAGGGTGCACACTGTAGCTGGCCTTGAGGCTGTGGGGGGGGGGAGAAGATGAGGCCCTGGAGACTGCCTGGGGAAGAAGGCAGAGCAGGATCACGAACCCTGTCCTGGAGGCTCGGATGGTTGAACGTCAAGGTAAGGAAGTGGGAGCTGGGAGGGAAGGCTGGGTCTTGAGCAAGGCGCCCCCAGTTGGTTCTCTTGCAGGGCCAGTCCTGCCATTAGGCAGAACAAGGCAGCCGCCCCTGGCCGCCGTTTGAGGCGTCCGCCGTGTTTCTGTGCTTTGCTTTGGCATGCATGTCCTTGACTGCATGGGAGGGAGAGGGTTTTATTTCCTGTACTGCTGTGTCAAAGTAACTTGGCGGAGGTGGTGTGGGGCTTCGGGAGGGAAGGCACGCCCTTTTCTGGTTCAGGCCAGCCCCCCATTTTGGGGGTTAAAGCTGTCTGTGGATCTGGTGCCAGGGTGGGAGGGTGTGGCTCTGTTTTAGGGGAGAAACAGGCCAGCGGAGAGGGCCTGTCGTGAAGACGGGCAGGGAAGACTTCAGTTTGCCTGGCACTGCAGAAGCCAGGTATTCAAGAGGAGGAGGAGGAGGCGACAGCCCTCAGAATGCTGGCGTGGGGGTCGTGTTGGCGGGCGGGAGGAAAGGGGGGCACTCGGCATAGGGCAAAAGTCCTGCGGGGAGATGACCCGCCCTTCTTGACCAAGGAGGTTAATCTTGTCTCTCACAAAGAGGGTGAACACTCCTCTTCTTTGTTTGTTTGTTTGTTAAAAATATTTTTACCTGGCCTTTCGCCTTAAGAGAAGGACCCAAGGCGGCTTCAGTCATTAAAGACAGCATTGAAACCTAAACGCTTTATGAGTATACAAAATGGGGGGATCAGGCAGATGCTCCTCTGAGAAATGGCAAACGAAACCGATTGTAGAAACACCTTAGAAGCAGTGAGGGGCAACCCTTTGAAACCCCCACGCAGGCAGCCCGTCGTTAAGGGAAAGCTGGCCTGACAAGGAAGGTCTTGGGGCTGGCCCCCCTCCCGCTCCCCACATCTCTCACTGTGTCCGATTCTCTTGCAGGCCATCATGCATCCAGACACTAACGAGACGATTTTCATGCCCTTCCGAATGTCAGGTATGCCCCCCCCCTTACGCAGCGCCGAGGGTGCTTCTGTTGAAGAGTGAACTTTTCCCGGCCAAGCCGTCTGTCTGGACGAGCACCCACTTCCCCTCGCCACAGAGAACTGGTTTGGGGCATTTCCAAACACTTTTGCTTGGCTTTACCCCCTGGGGCCGTTTTTGCAAAGCCTGTGCCCTCCTGGTAAACGGATGTGGTCTGTGACGAGGCCCGTTTGGTCCAGGAGAGACACTTGGGAGAGCAGGGATGAGCTCCGTGTGGCCACCCCAGATGCTGATGTGCGGCAGCAGCCATCAGCCTTCCCCGTGGCCGGGAGAGGGCAGCATTCACAAAGACCGGAAGGGCCCCATGTTCCCTGCTTGTTCTGCCCCACGGAGGTCCGAGCGCCGCGGGCTGCCCAGCTAACCTTCCTTGCTCTTTGGCAAGGTTCTGCTTCGCAAGTCAGCAGCAGGCCTGGAGGAGAGACCGGTTGGTGACGGGCAGGATCCGGCGGGGGTCTGCCCACCGGGAGCCTCTGTGGGCTGAGCTAGAGCAGAGGACTGGGGCCTGATCGCCTTCTTCCACTCTGGCCCCAAGGGTGGCTGCAGAGGGGCTTTCCTCCCTTGCAGCGGAGGCCGTGTGGGCTCAGCCGACGGGGAGCAGCACTCGACACCAGGGAGGTCTGGGGATGCCCCCGAGCAGGACTGGCTCTCAGAGCAGCCTTTCCCAAACGGGTGGTGGCAGGTGCCAGGCTGGGGGGGGGGAGGCTGCCCAGGAGGGCTCCTGGGGGGCAGCAAAAGAAAGAGGTCCCAGGGAACTCTGGCAGAGGGGGGGGGGGGAGGCTGCCCAGGAGGGCGCCTGGATGGCAGCAAAAGAAGGAGGTCCCAGGGAACTCCAGCAGAGAGGAGGAGGAGGAGGAGGTTCGAGGAAAGCCAGGCTCGGGGCCGCCTGCCTGCTGCGGGCCGCACACTTCGGCTTTAGGCTCTCCAGAACGAAGCCTCTCCTCCGGGTTGACTTGCTTCTGGAGTCAGGCTTCCTCTGCTCCTTCTTTGGGGCCAGATTGTCGAATCGAAGCACCTCTTGAGGCTTGTTCCAGATGAGGAGACCAACTGAGCGAATGGCCGAAGGGCGAGTCCCCCCCCCCCCCGGGGAAAGATTCCCACAGATTCCGTGGGTCTGTGCTGGTTGGGGTGACCAGCTGGACTCAGGCCAGCACTGGTCACCCTTGGGGTTTCCTTTGTCAGGGACGCTTCTGAGGCCGAGGGTAGCCATCGTGGGCAACTGTATCCCTCGTTCTGCTGCTGCTAAAACATGGTGGAGTCTTTGCATGCATAAAGGAGCTGGGCATGACACAGACACAGATACTTCACTCTACGTGAGATCGTGCAGGATTTTGTGTCATGGCTGGTAGCATGCTAACCTCGCTAGCCATCCCATTATGTGCTGTGTAGGGTTCTAACTCCACCAATTCGCACCCAGGTCAGTTTGTACATATGTGGTGAAACATGATGTTAAGTTTCTTCTGATACGTGTATGGAAAGGGAAAGAAGGCTGTGAGTTCTTGCTTCAGGCAGATGAAATTCCTTTCCCCCGGAAAGGTAAAAACAGAGCGAGTCCCTCTGAACCAGTCTCCTTCCCTTTCCCTCCCTCCCTTTTCCCTTTCCTTCCTTCCTTCCTTCCTTCCTTCCTTCCTTCCTTCCTCCCTCCCTCCCTCCCTCCCTCCCTTTTCCCTTTCCTTCCTTCCT